AAGTGCCAAGTTTGTTTGGAGAAGAGTATCTCAGAGTACTTGAAAAGAGAAGAAGGGCAGTGTTCGGCAGCCTAGGCTCGGAGAGCGATTTCTGATGAACGAGAAGGGGTTAATGATGGGTAGGTAGATATAGGTTGCCGCTCAGAGAGCTTCGTGCTTAACAAGAGAGTCGAGAGTCATGATATAACCGGCCGTGATGACCGTAGACGGGGCTGTGAGATTAACTTACATTGTTAATGGGAACCTGGACGTAGTCTGGGTAGCAATGACGGTGTGGATTGCTTTCCACCAGACGCGTGGTCCGCTGAATACATGGTCGTATAGTACGCTGCCTAGTTACATCAACACTCATTGCAAGTTCCAAAAAAGTCCAAGGCTATGAGGAACGGGGCCGTAAGGGTGTCGTGTCCACAGTCATCGTTGTGGGCGTCAGTCGGCGTACAAGGCTCCGGTCTGGTCCTTCACGACGTCCGTTTGCGCTCTACACGGCAGTAGAAACTGATGTACCTCGACCGTATCAGGTGAGTCCGCCTGGCTGCTGTCTCGTTCTTCTTTTGTTTTCGAGTCAAGTTTTCTGCCTCGAGTTTCGTGCTGCTGCTACGTCTTGAAAAAAATCTGCCAAAGATCTGTTTTCCCGCAAACTTTTGAGGAAAAGCGGTTCGAAAGCACTGACTGAGCCGCACAACTTACATGCTGACATGAGTTGTAGAAGATATCCTCAAGGAACTCTGTTTGGATATCTACCTGTAATGTCAATATCGTTGGGGACACACATCTTGCGAGCAACCTCGCCGAGGCGGTCCGCCCGCCACCTCTTTGGTTTTACTGTCAAGATCAACAGCCACAGGATGGCCTTCCTTTGACTGAAGCAGATTCAGTTCGCGGAACACACCAGCTGAAGTCTGAGCTGTTGTTCCAGAGAGATCTCTTCAGGAGGATCTATCAACGAGTAGAGTGCTCGAGGACTATACTCGGCGGCATGAACGTACACACACACCCCTACAAGCTCCTTAGTAGTCGGCGGAAATTCAAACTTATATAAGAGATTACGGTCATTCCAGAAATGGGCTTCTTCTGTTTGGCACGGGCATCCGTGCTGGTTCCAGTTGACTCTCGCACGAGGTAGATAAGCCTCCGAAGGCCACTTCGGAAAGTATAATGGCGCTATCTGTTAGGATTCTCCAGTATCATAACGATTATGCCTTTCGGTTCATTGGGTTCTTTGGGTAGATCTTCCGTAGCCTTTGGGTATTCCATTGTGATGGACCTCATAGCGGAGACGGATGGGGGAATAAAGCGTATGCCCTTGAATGATATGTCAAATTTCGAGCACGGGGCGACGAAGGAATACTCTTGTCAGAGACCTTGAAGAATATGCTCAAGTACGCCAACCACACTTATGATAGCGCTTTCACATCGTTGATTTCTAAAAGTTGGTTGTGAGGCATTCTCCCGCAATTTATACTGATGTTGACCAATGAGCAATCATCTTCATTGAAATTGGCCATTGTGCCGACACCCCTCCAAGAAGGTCGCCGGATAGATGATAACTCTCAGATTTGCGAGCGGGCACGAGGCTACCACACTATCTAGCGGATTACCCAACGTTCATAAGTTTTGGCTATGACCTAAGAATTAGAACGAGGCCCCCTCGGACTAAGCTTTTTTTCCACAGCTCAACATGCTTTTCGGGTCGAGAAGATGGCTTTAGCTCCTCAGGGTGCCCAAATCAACAGGCGACAGAGACTACCGTGACAGACATCAAAACAGCAACTGATCCGCAAAACATATCTCAATCAGGTCAAGAGAGGCCAGTAGAGGCTGAAGCTGGGACAGCTCTGGGAAGTCACTGGCAGCACACTTGCCGTACTTCTAATACGATCGCGGACCATGTCGTGTTGCCGACATGTTGTGCGAAATGGATTCTGCTTCTCCAATACGGAAACTGGTGTCGTTGGGATTAGCATGTGTGCGTGGTACACCTCTTGTTTATGAGACAGGATCATCCAGCTTGAGCTGAATCTGGAACAACTATGTACGACCTCGAGTCCTTGCCTCCAGCTTCAAGCCACTTGGTCACTTCGGAGACTTGAAGTCAAGAACATTAAAGCTGGGCGAACTACGCAATGGGACAAATATAGAAACAAAAGCATAATTCTGTATTTCAGAGTGAGATTGGAGACAATGCGGCCAGGAACTCGCAGCATCGTGATTCTTCTTACTGACTGTGTTAGAAACGCACTTTGCAATGTGAGAGCCAGAGGGCGCGGAGAAGGCTGTAATGGCGTTCTTCATGCCTGTAGGGGAATCTATATTAATTAGGGAGACCCCCTTCGACCTCGTCTTCTCCTCAACTTCGAAGGGCGTCGAAGAGATCGGCCGCGCACATGGACTTGCGTTACCACGGTCCCTGAATCGGCGAGATTTAGCTATAACCCAACTCTAGAGTATCGACAGGCACATCACGAATCTCCTGTGCACAGGCGCTCAATAGGCTCCTTGCCTCTCTGTTTGCCTCTACTATATTCTGGTAGTAATGCTACTTTCAGACAGGAAGGCAAGGGGGGGTAAGTTCTCTTCCTCAAAATCGCCGTGATCTTCATCGACGTGGCTGGTCGTTCGCCGGGTTAAGACCTCTGGAAATAACCAACTCACAATCGCTACCAACATATGTCCGCTGACGCTCACATCTATCCTTCCCAGTTCACACAGATCGGTTGCGGTCTGAGGTTCTGGCTGACGTCCACATTACTAACCTCCACGTCTCAAATTACTGTGTGTCGAGAGATCTCGGCCGATGATCAGTATCTAGGAAACCGACGGTCTAAAAGACGTCCGTGGCAGTTCGTCTCCTTCCGGACTCAACTCTCTGCCGTCTCGAGGGGACTACACGTTTAAAACAGAGCTCCGAAAGGAGGGGCACGAAAGGGACATAAAGTCTGGGAACGTTGAGTATCTCCTGTGTTGAAGCATCGTCTTTTGGCCTCGCCTCAACCTGGAAGACTTGTTCTTTCATCGCCACGACGGGCCAGCAGGCAAAGAGCTCTACAGCGTCAGTGGCTCGAATCGTCTCCTTCCCTCAAGATACTCTCTTTCTAAATTATCTATAAAGTATTCTGCGACTGTTCTGTCCCTGCTGGTCCTGCGTCCTCCTCTTGCTCTTGTTCCGCATGCGCATGGGCCTCTTATGGCTGTATCAATCTAAGTAAAATCTATGGAAGTTCCTGTGACTTGATCACCCCTCTTCGTATCGTCGAAACCTTTGATCGCGCGGGTGACCTCGCAGCGAGCTCGGCCAACCGTAAATTTCCGGCAGCCATCTGTCAATCTTTGACAACAGACACGGCCTGGCTGGTTCCCAATCTCCTGGGTGGGACCAACGGAGCTCAATACCAACAGCCTTACGGCCGTCCGCGATACATTGGGGATTCGGGAATCATCTGCCACGGAGCGCATGACAAACTCACTCTTCACATAGCCCCGGCCGGCAGTGTTCCTTATCACGGTAACCAGATGAAGCTCTAGCATGCTCCTTCTAGCCTCCTCTTCTCAGCTAGTTCAACACTTCGAGACAAGAACTCCATCTGATCGCTGCGCAAGTCATCGACGTGATTCCCAATGAGCTAAACGGTATTTCCATCCCGGAAAGGAAATACACAGAGGTAGGTGCAATAAACCAACGCCCGCGGCACTCGAGGGTTCCCATGATCCCCCGCGCCTCGGCATAGCCATCCCAGGCTTTCCCAAGAGTAGCAGACAGCCCAAAGAAACGACGGGGAAAAGCAAGCCGCCCCGTCGACAATAAAAAAACTCTCACAAACAAGCTTACTCCAAGACATGGGACCGGCTAAACCGCCAAACCCTAACTAAACAGGTCGCCGTCCATTCCCAACAAGGTTCAAACGGGATGGGACTCCCGCGACTGGAGCTTCCAGCCAGCCCTCTGAAGGCAAGAAGAAGCACAAGACGCCAAATGGCTCCTCAACCCCGGTAGTTGAGGGGGGGAAAAATTAACTACGAAAAATACGCCCCGACTACAACAATCTAATCAACTCATCTCACCAAGCCGTGACAAGCCAAAAGCTTGTTCTGTCTCTAAACTACCACACACACACACAGAGTTCAGAAGTCCAGACCAGGCACAGCCACCCATTGGCGGGGATACATTCCAAGATAGAGTTACGTGCGTAAAAAAATGCGCAAGAGCCGAACGTCGCCCATATCCCGGCGGCCCGGGAACAAAGAACTTTTGCTTCTTCTCGCGCGTAAAAAAAAAAAAAGCTATCATTTTTTTTCGGGTTATTATAGAGTGCAACTTTAATTTTCGCTGCTTCAGCCGGAGGTACCTATCCTACTTGATCAGCCACCCCGCGACGGCAGCGACCATGGCCAACCCATGGACAGGGGAATTGAAACTAAAGAAGAAGGATATCCTTCAGCCCGTGACCACCTCTCCAGTAGTCTATTCGGTAGTCAGCAGTGCCCGAGTTTTTCTTCGTCTCAAACAACTAAGCTCCGTTTGGAGACCTTTTTGGAAACTTTTTGAGCATAGCCGTAAGGCTAGTAAAAGTCTTTGTGTAACCACAGCCTTGAACCTACCGCAGTATCGGCGGCGCCAGAGCCCGGGGTGAGATTTCCCGCCGTCGGTGAACTGGCTAAAGTAATGAGCATTCACTAAACTCTACGGACGAGAGTGAGGATGAACGAGCACACGGCCGATGAGGCTTTCCCCGACACGGGCAAGCGCCAGTCCAATGCTCTCCTGCGACAAGCGTCAATGCGGCGGTGAGAAAAGGACATCGTGCAACGATCTTGCAGATCGGACAGCGGTGGTGGATCAGCCGACAGAAGCATGGCCGCCGTGGTCCTTCACCACCGAAACCACTTTTGAAGAAAATGTGCCGGGCTGGCATCTGATCCAAACGAGGATGGTGTGATATCATCGCTTCACTTCTGCCATCCAGAGCCGATCTCAGGCCTCGAGATATCAACCGGCATCCTCATTGCTCGACTGTAACATGATAGGCTTCAACCAGTATCAGGTCTTGGACAGCACCTATGACGCAATGGTTGTTCTTCGGCATTAAGGCAGAAGCTCCAGGCTGTGTTCGAGTCATGCCACAAAACGGATAGAGAACGGTCTCTCGGTTGGAAGTGGGTTGCCAGACGGTTCTCAACAAGTAGACGAATACTGCGTAAGGCCCATGACAGAAGTATCCGTGTGTCGTCACAACCAACCGCAGAAACGGCCTGTTTGTTGCGCTCGTAGAGCTTCCGCGGGACGCGACTAGGCATTGGGTTTGCTCGCCTGTCTTTCCGTACACTTCAGATCGAGCACTGTCTACAGATATGCATGGTTGTACGAGTTGATCGGGTAGGTAGTTCTGGCCGGGATTTGTCGGTGTTTGAATTCAAGAGCGTAATCTGGTAATGACGTGCAACCAGGTAGAACGGAGAGTTAGTCGCCGGTGGGGTCACTGGGGTGAAGATGCACCTGCGAAAGTTATTTCCGGAAGACCCCTGACTGTCGGTGCCAGGGAGCCAGGGAGCCTAGGACTGTTGGTAATGAAACGTGGGGACTTCTGAGTAGAGCAGCAAAATCTTCGACACATCTGTGAGTGTCTACTGAGTACTGCGTATGTAGGTATTCAGCTTCCACCCGGTTGACCTAGTTTTAAGTTGTGCCACCGGGCGGGTTGAGCATTGACCAGTGGGAACGATCCCCCACCCCGAGCGGATTTGGTGATCTTGTCTGGGGATAGGCCCGCCAACGAGAAAGTGGACAAGACTATGCAAGAATGGAGACGGTGATCTGCGTTTCGAAGGTGATTGTAGGTAAGGCCATGAACAGAAGCGCCTCCAAACGGTTGAGACTTTGCACCATGTCCTAGTAATGAGTCGTGACTGGAACTCTCGGGCGTTCCAGAACCCTTGCTTCTCGACCATTTTTGCTCCTTAGGGGTCAGGCTAGCTTGCCTGCGTGATGGCATTTTCTTTGCTTGTAAGTGAGTGTACATGCTGGGCTGAATAGAATTAAGATATCGAGTCAAGTCGTATGGCGCGTAGCAACTGGTATGCTTAATGATCCACAGAGATGCGATATGTCCAAGGTTCTCTTAGTCCCAGAAAACTGGGTTGACGTGCTCTGACAGTTTCGTTAATTGTGTCCACGCAAATGTCTGAAGCTGTCCATTGGCTGGTGCCTTCGACTCCAAACGTGTTCTATTAGGCTGAGGTGTCCGGGGCATCAGCCTTCTTGGTCCTCAGCTGGGTTACATCATGGACTGAAAGCCCTACAAAAGTTCAGGTATACGTGAGCAGTAACTTGGGACGAACAAGGCCATCCCGGGAGCGCTTCGGGGCGGTAGGCTTTCGTGGTCTTAGGCCTCGTGGGTATCAGTCTGTGAGGGGCCGGTGTAGTAGGATCGCTCGATGTATCTGATGTCCGGTCTCTTCTTGTCTGGGGTGAGAGTTCATTACGTCTTTTGCGAGCTGTAGCCTTCGTAGTCTTAGAAAGAGTGATACCGTCCAAAGAAAGCCTGTTTGACCGAGCCGTGTATGTAAATGTTTGCTGGCGGAGCACTGTGCAGCAATCGGGCCCGTCTCATCTAAACAATGGCGTGTTTCTCGCATCTGGAGCGGCCAGTGTGGCGTCGAGAGCGTCCGTGGCCACCTGGCAAGGGAAGCTACGTGATTATCGAACTGCACCCTTCATTGAGGTATCGGTCTGACTGATCAGTCTCAATATCAGGCGGGATGCCAGGCGTAGTTTTACGACCTGCGTCTTGCAGTCTTGCAGAGGGCTAGCACACGCGCTCGCAGCCCACAATTCGGCAAAGTTGTCTCAGATGTGTGAAGACACGGAGAAAGACCGAATTCGTCGTATGGCTATCCGTTATTGTACAATATAAAGCGCGTCGCTCGGGAGGGCAGAGACAGCTGGCACATGGACGGGTACCGGCTGCAGAGGGTGCAAGACAAGTGGTTGTTCTAGCGATTCTCGAAGGCAGCTGTGCATCGTTGTGACATGAATAGCGGTCGAGCTAAGGCAAGCTGGTCTCAGAGTCCATGCGACCGTGCGGTATTGCGCCCGGCTGGCCGCTTGGTCTCACATTCATCAGACGATGCTGGGATTCCCGGCGGAAGGTTGAGACTGTAGGTACGACACGGGCAAGTCGCAAGTGAGCGAAGCATACTTGTTGCGCCGTGTTCGTGTGCGTGTATCGGTATTTGTAGCCAATGGAGGGAGAGTACTTGAAGATTCGGGCGGATTGTCTCGACTCCAGGCCGACCGAGAGGCAGATGATGTTTGACGCGAATATCCGTACTTTTGTCTTGTACGGATTGGTGATGGTTGTGTGCAAGTCCAGGCAGGTTGACTTGTGTAAGAGGAGAGAGCCTCACCCTTGATGACAGAGTACCCTGCGGATAGACGTAAGGTAAGGTATTGTGCACAGTGTGTCGAGATGATGAGTCGTGAAGGTACCTTGATCCACACAGTCTTCCTTTCGCTGATTTGCTGCATCGTCTCCGTTCCGTCTGTTTTGGGTCTTCCACGGTACGTACCTGTCTGGACTGAGGTGGAGCGACAAGTCGAGTGGGTCTCTGGGAGCATGGGTACCTGTGCACGGTGCAGGCGCTAGGGAGATGACAGATAAACCAGTCAAGAAGCTCCAATGCGACCCACCTGATTAAAGTGGATCCCTGTCGCTCTCCCTTGAATGGCTGGCAAGACCGCAAAGCGCAGTATGGGCAGGCGCGACGAGTGCCTCTTAAACACGACGACCGTTTGAAGCTACCTTACCTTCGCACTTTGGTGAAGCCATTGACAGTCCGGCCAGATTCTTCGCATCACCTGCTGTGCTACTCCTGCTGTGCCCACCTATCATAGGCGAGCTACGTGGGAGCACCAAGTCATGAATGAAGCGTAAGTGTCCATGACTGATTCGGGTGGTCCATAGTAGCTACATTACACCTAATGACTGTACGGAGTAATGTACTGAAGTGATCCGTACAAGCTCACGACGCTGTGTTCGTAGATATCCCGGTATCCCGTGCGCTGCGAGACAGGAGGGACGTTGGCCCGCGCAATGGTTCGAGTCCCCACATGCCCGAAAATGAGGACGCGACACTGCAACTGCGACTTCACGTCAAGGTGGTTGAAGGTTGTCCTTGGATCCCGACTCCCGACCGGCGACAAGCCTTTGTGGGTGGAAAGGGGACAGGGACCTGGATGGGAGTGGAAACTTCCATTGAAAGAGAAGTGGCCAGTGCGGTCGAGTGGGCTCGCTTAGCACTGGACCAGGGATCTGGGCCACAAGGCTCCCTGTCTTGCCTTCTTGATCGGGGCTAGATCCGAGTACGTACTTGTTGCTTTCCGTTAGGGGTGGCAACCAGGATGGACAGGCCTTTCCCCTCCTCTCTTGCCTGCACATGGTACGGAGTACTGCGTAGTTACCGGTATCACGATCTCACATTATACCTACCGTCTTGTTGAAGACAAAAAGTCTAGTCTATGATATACGTACAATAGTTGCCTCTGTCTTTGCGTTGCATGAGATGGAAGCAGACACGGCGGGACGGGTTCTTCCCAAACCCCGGAGGGGACGATCCTCAAAGGTCTTAGGTCTTTAGTCATCAAGGGACAGACAGGCAAATCGGCGCTCGTTCCTTCCTTGGCCCGTCATCCAATCTCCTCCAAAGGGCACCAAAGCTGCCCTCGTGCGTTTTGACTCAGCCGTCAGACCCAGATCACTGGGTGTCGTCCGTCGGTACTGCACCGTTTTCCCACGGTTTTGGGCCTTTGGCGCGCCTCCGACCCAGCATCTGCACGCTTTTCAATCCTTCCAGGCCCCCCCCCCCCTCTCATTTTCTTTTTTCAAACCGCGTCCACGTTACCGGGTGCTTTGTACGAATACTTGCTACGCGCACTCAATTATATATCCGTTCGAAACCCTCCGACTCGCAAAGTGCGAGCCATACTCCGTACCGTCACTGGAAATCTTCGCAAACGGCTGACAATCTTACGGCTCAAATGGAAAATAGATTGACTTCCCGAGTTCCGTTTCTTCCTCTCGGCCCTACAACCATCACCAGGAATCCTCCAGTTTCAACTCCCGCATTACTCTGACCCACCCGGCCCGGATCTCACCGGTTGCTTGACTTTCCATTGCCTGTGTATGCGTACGAAGTACTCCATAGCGTACGCAGTATCCCTAGTACCCCTTCCGACCAGCAAGCAAGGACAGGCTTGGAACACACATACCACAGCACACCTCACACAACGAACCAGGCAACGGTCGCCGATCAAGTCTCTACTTGTCATCCTCGCTGACCCTCCCGGATGCTGGCTGTCCCTGCAGAAAAGAGACAGGGCCCATAGAGAGCCCCCAAACCAAGAATTAAGATCCCCATCTAGCTCCCTCGACCCCTAGAATTTCTTCGGTCGAATCCCTTCAACAAGTCTAGCTCTTGTCGGCCTTCACCAGAGCTGACGCGCTTTCCATTGCCTCGCCTCACTTTCAGGCCATTGGCATTCCTAGGTATTTCGTCGCTCCTAACATCCAGAACAACATCTTTCGGCTTGCCCATCTTGACCCTTCTCCGCCTCCGCCCCTTTCTTACCCAACTGGAGCTATCCGTACGGATAGGTACCCGAACGCACCTTCGCCTCATACTCAACATCACCTCACTCTCAACATCGAAATTTCAGTTCGGCTCAACAACCACCAAGCAAACCCTCCCGAAACGCTGTAGCTACGCTCACTCGTCCCCCCTTATCCTCTTCTCCGGCTGTCACACGGCACGAAGAGGAGCATCAGTCCCAGGGTGGTGCCGCCAGCCAACCTCTAGCTTCGCCTTTGTGCAACCATTCTCCTTGTCCCTCCACTGTCTCCAGAGAAACTTGGCCGCGCTAGCTCGCTAGTAGTGCCGGCCATACGGTACGGATACTGCTAGGCCAGATACTGGCTACCGGTGCTGGTTCTGGTACAGGGACGGGTTCCATACATACCGCATCTTTTGCAACCCAAGGAAAGGACCATATGTGTATTGCGCCCGCCCACGCGCCGTACGCCTCGTCCTGCAACTCTCTTCGACTCCGTTTACATCCAAATTCATCGTCCCCTTCGAGCCCAGTCACCACAGCTACACTACTTTAGCTAGCATCCTCTGTGACGCTACGCCAAAACAACTAGTCTCCTCCGTCTTCCTCGTCCTCCTGCCCTCTAGCCATCCCTCAGTTGGAAACCGTCTCTCCTAATCTAGATCAACTTCTCTTCTCCCATTCCACGTCCCCTACCGCTCATTCATCCTCACTCGTCCTCCTGTCTCTACCAGCAGAGAGACGCACTCTGCTTTCTATCCTGGCATATTCTGCTCGTTACGAACATCTCTAAACAACCAAAATCGGATATACGACACACATACCCAAACACATGGCAGCATTCCCTCTTGGTCAACGTCCCAGCCACGCTCAATTTTCCTGCACGCCCTCAGAGTTGGACCAACGTCATTCTTGCTGCTAGCACTCACTACCAAGTATCGGGAGTAATCACTCCAGGGCCTTTTGTGGCCGCCACGGCGCCTCTTCGCCCAGTCCCTAGCGCCGTTGCGGATGCCTTCATAATAGCAGCCCGCCCTCCCCAGAGCAAGCTTCAGCCCTTGCTGTGCTCTCGTCAACACATACCTAGGGCAAATCCATCTGTCGCCAGCCTCCGCTCAAACGTGAGGAAGGATGTTTGACCACTTTGCATTAGGAACCCAGATCCGCTCAGGTGCGAACGGTTCTAGCGAGGAGCCATCTCTCTCTCCTAAACAACGCTCACGAGAATTACCGAACCCGACTAAAGGACTCTTGTCCCCCCCGGCATCATCTCCAGCTCTTCTTGATACACTACCACTTCCACCACAACCCGTGGACAACCTTGCCCGCGAGCTCAGCAAACAGACTCTGATTCCAGAATTTCGACAACGAAATCCGCTGGCGACGTCGGCGATAGAGTCCTCGTCACTGGTCACCGATTTATCGATGGTCGATCTAGAGGTGGACGACGATTGCGATATGAACTTTGCTACAGACGATATCAAGGAGCACCAGCCAGTGGCCGATTGGAAGAGAGCTCGGCGTCAGCGTTACAGCCGCTTTGTCAACAATCCAACCAATGCCCGCGCCATAGAGGCACATATCAAGGACATGGTCTCGGGAGAGTTGCAGTGCAACGTTCGTCCATCTGCAGCAATGTCTTCTTTGCCAGCAGCTGTTCCTGTATATCCTCATCTTCCCAACATTGATGCCGACGGCTATCCCGAGATCGATCCAGCCTTGACACAACCCGAAGTGGACGAAGGCTTTTGCGATCAAGACGAGGAATATGCTCTCACGCAGAAAGCATTAGCTGCCGACAGAGAAAGGCTGTTGGGAAAGTCGGGGGGCATGCGGAATTACGGATCTTTACGATTCAGAGGATCGGCAGAGACGGCGCTCCGTTGCCAGAACGTTGTCAGACAACGACCAAGGATGCGACGAAGAAAAGGACCGGGACCAACCATCGATCCTCGACCAAGCTGAATCGTCCTGGCAATTGCACAGTCCACTTCGCATCTGTCGAGCCTCTCTTATTATTTCGGTTTCATTGTACGAGCGTCTAAAGAACATTTCAGCGATATACCCATGGGAAAAGGACTAGGTTTTGGCTAGGGCAACGGCGTTTACTTGGATGGATTTGAACTGCGACATAACCATGCCCTGGAAGTTCAATTGGGAACCACTGCCTCTGGAGGTCCAGAGTGAGACGGCGTTTTGATCGTGTCAGGCAAGACACGGAGACTTTTGCCTTTATTTTTCTTCCATCATGCGGTGAGCCACTCGATGGTCGGATGTCCGCTTCTTCGGCATTGATGTTCGGGATCGGAGGCATTTTTCGGCTTTCAACCACCTTGACGGCCCGAGGTCATCACCGAGTCATCAGTTGCGCAAGCTCCGGTTCTTTGGCTGGGTGTTTGTCTGCCCATAGCCTTCGAAGGTGCAGACGTGGCGTCAATACTTGCAGCCTTTGTCAGGCAGGGTTTTGCCTCTATGCATCTTTCTCTAGGTCGCTGATGAGAGGAGACTATTGAAGAAGTCTAGACAACTTTCGAATTCAACAAAAGAGACCTCCTACTTTGGGATGTGTCGCATTCTTATCTACTGACGTTTTCACTTTGAATCGCAGTGATGACTAAGATTGTGATGATACAGGACAGCGATGTTTTCAGTGTTACCGTTCTTGCGGGTGGTTGGGAAACGTGTGCAATAGACAACGGCTGCCCAGCGAGCAAGCTGTCCCGATAGGCTGGGAAGCTATTGTGGTCAAAGTAGGATTTCAAGGGAGTCTCCATTCATGCATGCGGCACAATGCACCGCGATCTTCGTTTAGAACCGGTGACGTCCACCGTCACTGCCCCCCTCTTGATTTCATCACACCTTTTTCCACCCCTCTTCAGATAAGTATCATGAAGGGCCAGCCGTATGAACATTCCAGCTGTCTCCCGGCTAACACGCTCTCCACCTGCGCAAGTGCGTATGGCATGATCCGAAAGCTGGAGGGGTTGTAAGCGAAGGAACTCGCAGCTAATGAGGGTGAGATACCCCAATTAGACTTTCAGGTGGTCAGGTCAGCGTCGACGAGGAGACGTGCAGTAGTTCCATCTGGGGCAGCTGATCACCAATGACTGATGTCTTCCCCTTGATAGCTATGGGTAGCCTAGTTCACGAAGAGCTGGGACAGCTTAGCCGCGGACTGTGAAAGCTACTCGGAGTTGGAGCATGAGCCTGGATCGGTGGCCCGTCGAAGGCGTGATTCCTTGCAGTTTGGCACCGCCATCGCTCTTAGCCGACAACGCCCCTACTTTGCTTCTTGAGATATCTCCGTTCCATTGTTTGTCATCACTTCATCATCATCCTGGCATACCATGATCTATTTCCAAAAAGTGCCACAAGGTACAACGTCCCAGTGGAGGGTATAAAATCAAGATAAGCAAGACGAAGTCCAAATCTCGATGTAATCTTTTGCCTAGGAGGAGGACGTATGACAGGGGGTCCACGATGATAATTTTGCTTCGCCAGTGGCGTTTTTGAAGCAGACGAGCAGACGGCGTCCTGTGTCAAGCCGCCAAGGCCATGCAAAATATCAATCAAGGTTACAGTCAGCTTAGTATTCTGAAGTTTTGAAGCAAGCAGAATAATTTCCGAAGGATCAAACATGTGCCTGCAGTCTAGGGAATTGCAATATGTCTTTGTCTCCGATACCAGCCCTGGCACAGAGGGCGAGCAGATGGATTGTTTCTCCTCGAGGGTGGTTTCTCTTCTTGTTAAACGACGTTGCCTTGAAAGAAAACGATGATCGAGTTTCCTTTGATGTTGCTGTCTCTTTGCCCTACCAACCCCAGTTCTTGCAGGTACAAAGTGGGAGGTGCCTGTCTTGACTGGAATGCGGATATGCTGCTGGGTCACTAGACGACGTGGGTTGCATTCCTTTGGCCATTCAGGAACAGATGGCATCCCTCGCTGAAAGCACGGTGATCTCTGCGGTCCCCCAATTCCAATGGTGCTCGTCTCCGTGCTGCATCCATATCTCTTGCAATAGTTGCTGTGGCAGGATCAGAGACATGAGCTGGACGGTATTTGTTGACTCTCGTTCCCTCCACCCTATGTGGGTTTGCAACCATCGACGGTTTTCATTTCCGTTAAAGAGTCCCATTCTTCGATGGTTATACCCCAGTTTCTCTATCATCTTTCTCTCACTCTTTTCTACACTCTTTTTTTTTTTTTTTCCACTTTCCGCAAACGAACATTGCAACATTCTCTATCTTGCCCTCTCCTTTGCTCCGGGTCTTTCACCCACCATCCACCGTTTTGCATCATAATCTACGCAACAGATCTGATCCTCACTGCTGTCTCCAGTCCCCCGCTTCTGTTCCTGATCCTTGCCTTGGCTCTGGATCGTTTGCGGAACTGATTTCTAGTACAGAGACAGAGGCAGAGACACCCGCACAAGAGAGCATGACAGTGGCCGTCTCGCATTGGACGAGGAGCCCCGGCACGAGCGTCAGTCTCAGCTCGCACCCGACAGACTACAACGACATGGCCTACTCGGAAGTCCAGTTCTCAGTAGATTCAATGGACGAGGACAAAGACGGTAGCGGGGGCCAGTCTCACCTGCCCTGGGGAGAAGAGACAGAGGGAGCCGGCGGGGGAGGATCGGGCTCGGGTGCGGTCCACAGCGACAGCCTCCTCTTCGAGGACTTCGTCGACCTGGAGAGGCTTTCTTCGACGACCACCGGGGGTGACGAGCTCCCTCCCTCTGCTGCCGTGCCCGACTCGTTCTTCTACAACATGCCACTCCCCTCTCATGGGTCCGCGTCGACGACAAGCGTATCGGACGATCTGGACGACATACTAAGTTGCCACACACATCCGCTCATGGAAACTAGGACTAGCGCCGCAGCAGGTCCCGCTGCCACATTAGTGCCATCATCAGCAGCCGCTAGAGGAGGGGCGGCGACTTCAGACGCGGTGGTACCGTCTGCTGTGGGCGTTCCGGGTATCCAGTCTTCATGGACGATCGACCGTGAAGAAGAACAAAGGAAGGCTTCGACCTATCCGGACACAGCTCACGCTGGCGGGGCCGAGTCGATCTCTGACTCTGAGCTCCTGCGCCTGGAAGGCATATCGTTGAAAGCGTCGCCATCTCGCGCTCCATCTGTCGTCGTTTCCCATCCTCCCACTCCTCTTCTTCAAGCTTCGTCCGCTACCAGCAGCAACAGCAACCTCCACCTTGCCGGCAGCAGCAATCAGAACAATACTAGCAGCAACAGTCACACCAACGGTGGTCGTAAGCCGAGCAACTTCTTCAAGGTTGTCGCATCGAAACTGCAGCAGAAAGCTGCCTCTGTCCGCCATAAACAACCCACCATGTCTACCGTCGCCATCGACAGCAGGGGTACCCTCTCCCCCAACGCCTCGCCTCGCAAGTTCAAGCTCCGTCCCGAGCATCTCCAGAACCTCGGTGGCCCTCACCCCGCAAGACTTCCCCTGTCCCCTCCCAACAGTGCCACTATTCCCCAGGACCTGCCTTCCGCATCATCAGCCGGCGGCAACCCCATGTCGTTTGGCTGTGGCTACGTCGAAGACCCCTTCTTCGATGCTGGTGTGGCCGTCAACCACGTCCCCGTATTCCGTCGTAGCGATCCTACCACGCCACTGGACACTCCCGTTCTGGATGACAAGGGCGGCATGTTCTATCACCACCAGCAGATGAGCTCCGGTAACGTTGCCAATACCAGCAAGGCTTCCTGGCCAATGGCCACAACAACTCCCCAGACCGACTCTCATGTCGCTTGGTCCAATGCCTATGCCACTACCGATGGCATCGACGACCAGTGGTGGGGTGGAAACAACATGGACTTGACATCCAATTCACAATATCAAGCACAGAACGCTCGCAACGCTACCTTCAACCTCGCCATGCACACACAACACAGTGAACTGCCATATGAATACAACAACATCGCCGCCGCCGGACAGGAAATGTCAGGACTCATGATTCACATGCCTCAACCCCGTACCACATCCTCGCCCATCGTCCACTACCAGCCCCAACAGCCACTTCACCACCAGCAACATCCCCAACAGATGACGGAGCGGCGGCCCCGCATGCCCCGTGCCCCCTCGGCCGGCGCCCGGCATATGTGCCTATCAACGCCGATGCGCAAGACGCGTAACCCGAGCCGCACACGTCAAGCCAGCCGCGACTCTTCAACGTCGCCCACACCTACGAATCGCTCCCGTCACAGCAGCGGCGGCTCGTTGTCCAGTATCGGTGGTGGCGGCGCAGCTCTCAGCGCCAGCGTTAAGAAGCGTCGGTCTTGGTCTCGTCGCGAAAGCATGCGCACTCCTTCCATCGGCAACTTGGGCGGTGCGTCCGAGGGGGTCGGCTTCGTCAACTTTACTCCCAGCGACAAGAATGTTCTCATGACCGGTGTGGCGCCCAGCGGAAGCTCCAAGACAAAGGCACGTCGGGAGAAGGAGGCGATGGAGAAGCGACGAAGACTGAGCGAAGCAGCTATCAAGGCCGTCAAGGCCGCCGGCGGCGATGTGGACAAACTGGTTGAGGAAGGGTTCGTCTTCTGAGCAAAGCATTCTTCTTCCTTCCAATGTACAGCAGGTATACGCTTGGGGAGCGCTTGGGAGTTCATTTTTGGGTCAGGACATGCTTGGGTCCTAAGGGATATCAGGCGTTTTCAAGGGATCATCAATTGTCGGCGATTGATCCGTGAGGTTTTTCCTTCTCTGGATGGGGTTTGCTTCTTTCTCGCCTCTTTCAACTTTTGCTTTTTTTTTCATTTACACAACGGCATGGGGAGCGCGAGCTCCGACTGACGCCTGACCGGCTTATCCACGATAGCCGCTTTACTTTCCTACCATCACCAACAAGTACTTACTAGCTAATCTCCTTTTCCTTATGTTGGATCAACCCAAAATCACAGGCTGGAACCCAGGGTATGAGATATGGAGGGATAGGTTATCTTAGCAAAACAGATGAAACATCAAAATATCACACTATTCAAACAAACTGTGAAGTCCCCTTTGAAAGTGATACTATGCTTCAGACTTTCCCATGGCCCAACTTTCCCATCACGAATATCTACATCACTTATCCGAGACCAATGGCATCACACGAGTCATCCTTCTTTGGAAGAACAATAACAACAACATCAACATTATCTAATCAGTCAGCAAATAGCAGTCATTCTGCTACTACTCGGCGGTGCCTTGCGGTCGCTCCATGAGTGACGCCTCGCGCAGCCTCTCGCTAGATCCCAGTCCGCAGGGTCGGGGCAGCCTCTCGTGGTGAACTACGGCGCCGCTACGTGAGGCCGTCTCTCGACCAGCCGTTAGCCGATCTACGCTGGGCAGAGCGCCGCCCAGGTCAGGCCGCCAGAGCAGGAGGGGGTATCCTCCGTCCCTTCTCTTCCTTCCCCTGGGCCGAACCTCGCTCGTCACGTTCGGTGTCTGTGCGATCCCGCATCATCCGTGCCATCCCCATGACAGGCGAGCGGGCGGGCGTTATGGAGAATAAGCAGGTACCCCCTTCCACCCCCCCTCCGGGAGCCAACACAGACCAACTTCCGACGACGATGATGGGGAGGATGAGGAGGAGGGGGCCCAGAAGTGCACCTGACCAGGATGTAGCGAAAGAGGTCCAGGCCCAGGGAGACTTACTGGGATAATGACTTCCTACAGACAACGAGGACTACCTCACCTAGGAAAGGGTAAAGGCAATCACAACCCAAATGTGAGTGGAGCAAGGGGGTGTGGGCTGGCCTGTGTTAGTCCCTCCTCCCCGTTCCCTTTAAAGGTCCAAATCGCCGCAAACAGATAGCTCTTTTGCCCTCTTTCTCGTCCTCTTATCCCATCATGACTTGGCTTTCGCATCCACCTCAGCCAGACGCTCCCCGGATTCTCCGCTAAGCCTTACCTCTCGCACTCCTCGGTCTCCTCTATCACCCACCCACACTGACATTCGGAGACGCCTCCTCTGCTATCCTAGCAAGACCGTCGGGATTTGAAGTTGGGATCTCGGTGAAATCCACCCCCTCCTCTAACGGATGATCAAGAGGGAACGGCGTCTCCATACCGCCTCACTTCTCCTCGCCCAAGGAAGGAAAATCAAGAGACAGCCACAAGCTGACATGACAGTCTGACGGTATGCCTGCCCACGCGCCTACGAGCCCGACTCTCGAAGACTAGTGCAAGATCCCCGTTGCAGAATCTCGCAGCTCAACATGCAAACTACTGTCTACAGCTGTCTGTCTGCGGCGCCAAACCCGAAATCGAAAGGTGCCAGGAGCATGATGGCAACAGGGCGCAGTCTCGCGTATCAATGTCTCAGTGCATAGTCCACCCGCCTGGGCTTCGAGTCTCTCTATCCCGCTGCTCTCTCACAATCACGATCTCGCTTGCTCGATCACACATTCGCAGAAGTTGCTTGAATCGGGAAAGTCTCGTTCCGTTCAGATCCCCCACCGTCTACATCGTACACCCTTTCCGGAAACGTTATTGCATCTTTACAATCCACGGCCGTACGCCGCAGCCGCGCTACGTCTCGACCCTGCAGACTCTCCTGGACCCCTTTCGCAACGTCCGTTGCCCGACTGAAAGCAGGTACTCACTACATCGCAAGCGAAACAAGATCTCATCTTCGTACGATGTTAACGATAGTCAACGTACCTGCATGGGTCTGGCCTTATGTAGCCGCGACGCGGGACCACCAACGCATCTGCCCAGGCGCAGCCGCCCAGCAATGGGCTCCGTCTTCGACCGGAAGCAGCACCGGGACGAGCTCCGTCCCCTTGATACCACTCCCAACCGCCACAACAAGCGCAAGATCTCGACTACTTTGCCATGGCGAGCCTTGTCTCACTCGCTTCATCCGAGAGATCGAGAACCTTGCCCGGAGAGGCGCGCATCTCTACCCGCGCAGTCTAGAGCATCACGACACTTGTCAAGAGAATGCGCCCCTGCCCAGACGACTGAGTAAGGGCGCGAGACACTGGGCTGACAGAATTTGATATTCTACCTCAAAGGAGCCGCGCAATACAGAAGCCTCTGACCCTGTATGGCGGGCCACGTTCTGTTGACAATGTCTTGGATCCTCGTTTCATTTCGGGCAAAGACCTGCGAATAAGTGACATCTTGTCGCCTCGTAGGCAATATGCGCCCATGATATCGTCATTCATGTCAAAAATGGCATTCTATGAGGTAAGGTAGGAACAAACGACCATCAGTCCCCGCTTCAAGACCCTCAATTCGGTCGGCAAGCATCAAGATCCGAAACGATCACCGTTATTTGCGCTGTTCGTGCCGATGCTCTTGACTTCTCGCAGATGGTCAAACATGATCAGCATTCAACAAACATCATGGTTTCCCAACCGTCCACCAGCCATTGTATCGTGTTCGAAGCAGATTTTCTATATGCGGAAAGAGAAAAGGCGTCTTACCGATGCTCTTGATTTGGTCAAGCGGCATCTTTCTCTCGTTATTTGGCCAATAACAATTTCTCCGGAGACATCTCTGTCATTGTCTTTCTAACTAGCTCATGGAATTCTCCGTAGCCAACTCTAAAAAGCCGTACAGGAACTATGGGGACCTCTCTGCCACGTCCAAATCCGGACGAAAGCAGACTTTCTCGGTCGTCGTTTCTCGGTCAGTCCAGATGTATGTCTTACCCCGGGCCCCATCCGACCGCTGCTCACTTACACCTTTTGACTAGGTTCTGATATTCTGGGCAGGCAATATCTGGGGCCAGCCGCCAGCACGATACCTACTACTGTGGCTCATGGCAGCCTTGCTATGTTTGGCAGTTCTGCCGTGTCCGCCTCAGCCCCCGCCGTCATGACAGCTGGCGTCTCGTCGACCGACGACATGACGAAGAGGTTAGCCTATAGGTTACTCCGTGCACTATCCCCTTTCTTTACTTTCAGCCCGACTGTGGCGGCCGCCATCTCACACGAGCCACAGTTTATTCTTCTCTCCATCTCTCGGGCTAATTATTCAAGCCTCATGTTGCCCAAGCGAGTATGGGATCTCCAAGAGAATAGGCGCGGCGTAGCCGGAATCCCAGAAGACCGTTACCCTCCGACCAGATTGTCCGTGATATCCGCACATCTCGGTCAGCCATCAAGAGTGCCCGGGGCTTCGGGGCGTACAACGCGTCTGATGTAGCTAGCTCGCGCGTCTATCTGCCTTGTTCTATCTCAGTCCTGTGGTCGAACGACAATGCAATCAACCAATAACAACGACGAGAAGTCCGAGGGCCCCCACGTCGCGCCTGGTGAACCGACTCCAGACCTCGTGGACGTTGGTGAAGAGCCCAGCAGACTGGTGATCGTACCAACCAAGCGGCCGCCAGGGGAAAAGCCCTTCCAAATACCTGAAGCCACAGGAAAGCCGGCCAGATACCCCGAAGCCCTCGTGTTGACACCTTCAGTGGAATCCTCGCGATGCCTTCAGGCACTTCACTGCACGTCCAGAAGGGCCCGACTCTACATCGAGTTGAAGTCCTGCTCAGATGACCATCCTCCTCGTCTTCAAAACTCAGATGAAGCAGCTTGTAAAACGACAACCTAATTTTGGCCTGACGACGCCTCGATACCGTGATATCAAGCAGTAGACTGCGCCGCCGACCAACCTTGCCGTCACTCTTGGAACTACCGAGACGCGCCACACGTTGCCAGGCACAACTGTCACCTCAACTGCAGCCCAGCGGAAGCGAAAAAGCCCATCCCCAGAAAACGCCAACGCAGGTGTACCGCACCTGCATGTGCCGCTCTCCGGCTCCTGGCCCACCTGCCTTGGCCATTACCGCCCTGCATCTGAAGCCTCACGACGACCTCCACAGTTCGAGGCCGTGGTAAACCACCGCGCCACAAGCCTGGCCTTGGTCAGCCGGGCCTGTTGTTTCCGAGAGGGTGCGGAGCTCGAGCAGCCACAGTATGTCACGATGTTGCTTCTCATAGTCGGCCGCTCTACCCTTCGCTCCCGACTGGAGATGCCTTACGCCCGCCCTCATCTCCAGTAAACAAGCTTGGAGGCTTCCGACTCCTCAACGCCCTTTGACGAGCAAAATGGAGCTCTGTTCACCACCCTAGACCTAACTGGACATGGCTTCTTCCCATCTACGCACCCCTCCCAGCTAGACCACTCCCCTCCTCGCTTGCCGTTTCCACATTGGAAATAGCTCGACTGAATGCCGTCTACCCTTCTTGTCCTCTGTCGCGGCTCACGATGGCCAAGGGGTGTGATACGGGCCCAAGAGGACTGTTTCTTTCTCAACGTCGCGATGCCAAGACGCGTTGAAGGGGTCGGTTAGTCGGCCCATCTTGGCCTTGTACTACCGACCCTATCGACGGTCAAACCTGGACATCGTCAACTCGAAATCCTTCCGACGTTACACAAACTTTGCGAAAACCGGTCTTCCGCTCCATCCCAACGTCCCACCCATCATCCGTTGGATTGCGTGTTTGAGCTCCCATGATCCCATTCTCGTTTCCCCTCTTCCAGCTCGTCAAGGTCTCGCCTGGCGGGCTGACCGATCGACAACAGCTGCCTCGTCCATCACAAATCGATGACCGTTATACAGACAAAGAAAAGGCAGTCGTCCCTTGGTCTCCGGATTTGTGTTAGCCTGGGACGGAGGGGCCTGTCTCACTGCACTCACAATGAATGATAGGCAACCTCCGTGACTTTGCTCCACCTTTTGCTTTGCCTTTTTCTCTTCTTGAGCCTGCCATCCTCTCATCCCCTCTACAGCGTCTCCCGTCCTGAATCCTATTCCTCATACTTGTTGCCTTTCTCCGTGTCGGCCTCTCTATTTCTCCACCACACCTAATCCACACCACCTTCACCGAGCCCACTCTCACCTCCCTCACCTTCCACGCTTTTCCCCTCCGAGCCCGGGGTGTGGATGACTGGATCTTCTCCTTCTCGTCCGGCCTCCTCCGGTACGGACGTATCATTCAGGTCCCGCCTGTCCATCCCACCCACCCATCCTGCTCCGTACACAAGAGGGTCCAGAACGGCCGTCGGTCAAACCTCACTTGCCGCGGGAAACGATATCCCTTTTCCAACTGATATCAAATCAAGACTGCCCCGGCTCGTCTTCCGGACCAGACGTTCTATCCCGTGTTGTCTCCCCCATCCCACCCACCCACCCATCATTCACTTCTTTGATGGGTTAGACAAGAACAGGTGAGCATCAACTAACTAACGTCCGAAACTTTTTGTGTTTAGCTGTCCATCTCGCGGTAGATCAGCCGGACGAGCCACCCACCCAAACGGCCGAATCTTTAACCACCCTTTGCCCGTTTGCCCAACTCTAAATTGGGGCAAACAAGAGAAAAAAGAGAGCACTTTGATCGTCGGAGTTCTGTCCGTCTCTTGATCTACCGTGACACAAGAGCCGAGGGGAAGAGAGGACAAGACAACTCAACAAAGATGTCGACGGCGGACACTTTGGGCTTCCTCGCCGTCGGCCAATCGTGGTTCTTCCCCTCCCACCCCCCTAGATATCAAGGCCTGCTCGTCCGTCAGTAAAGTTTTCATCAAGAAGAATTCGCTTGGAATCAGCCTAGACATTGCTTGTCTCCGAAAAGCTTGTGTAACAAAGGGATTCATTAGCTATTTTGTGAGGGTTTTTATCTGTTTTCCTTATCATGGGGTTCATCATATCCCTAAGAGAATCAAAACCTTCCAAGCTGAGTGTGACCTCGGCACGGATGGATTTGCTTTCCTCTTGCCATTGGAGCTGGCTTTTTTCTTTGTGAACCCCTATCCCAATTCCTAGCCTGCCCAATCCCACTGCTGCTGTACTCGCTGGCGAGGTATCCTTTCTCCTGCCATCAGCAACTTATTTACAAAGTCAAGAAAACCCAGTACGGCGCGGCAATCCTCCTGATTAGCGTGCCCGACGACCCCGTAAAACAATAATCAACGCCGTGATCTCGGGACGCCGTCTTCAATGCCAGACACAAGTGTGTGGAACATAGAGATGAGAGAAGGAAAAAAAGGAAGATACCATTCCGTCTATCCTGTGATGCATTGCGTCATAACCCAAGGTGAGGGCTCAAGTCTCCCTTCCCACACCTGGCACATCATTACTGAGCTGGTGGGGTTTTGGGTTCCTGTCAAAATCCCTCATGTTTTCGTGTATCCGAGAAAATGTGCCCAAGATGATTGGGTGGACCAGAATGCCAACACATATACAGAAGAACCGGCAAGATTGCCTAGCGCTTTGTCCTTGAGACTGTGGTATCTCCCATCAAAACGGGCAAACATCATGTGAAGTCATATCTAGTGCTCATATCCGGCACCACGTTGCCAAGGGCTGTTCGATTGTTAGCTACTGTATTGCCAAGTGGCTCTTGTTCCTTTGATATCTTACCTGGCGTTGTTTTGGGAACGGTACTGCGCAGGGCTGGCATTGTTCTGGTTGCGGTACTGGTTGTGATTGTTGGCACCAAGCGTTGATGCAGAGCCGTTGTACGGGCTTGGGGTGCGAGTAGGCCCTTGTCCATAGGGGTTGCGGTTGTCTGCCGGGAAGAGAGGCATCGAAGGGTCCACTGGTGAGTGCGGCGCCTGGCCGTGCTGTTGACCTCCGGGACGCTGAGAGTGCTGAGAGGGCGCAGCTGACTGGGCAGTCGATGGCGGCAAAGCAACACCAGAGGGGTCCGCTCGGCGACGCATGGACTCAGAAGAGATGGAGTCATTGTCGTCATCGAGGTCGAGCCCCTTGTTGTAGTGGGCCTTGTCACCTCGGGCAGTCGCAGCCAAAGCGTCCAACTCAGTAGTGGTGTTGAGCTGGGTCTGGGACTTCATGAAGGAGGCTCGGTCATCGGCCATGAACTGGTAGCGAGCATCAGGGTTCTTGCGGAAGTAGATCAATGTGCTGCTGACAATAACAAGCAGCAGAAGGATCAGAGCGAAAGCCGCGTTGGCGATGAAAAGAACCACACCGACGATACCGTTTACCAGAGCCGGGGCACCGAAAACGTCGGAGAAGATGAGCAGGAAAACGGCGTTGAGGAAGTTCATGACGCAGATGGCAATGTTGAACGAGTTGGTGCTCTTATCCATCCAAGGGCGCAAAACACTGGCAGCGATGAGCGCAGCAGCCTCAATGATGACGAAGGCAATGGCCTGAATGGTTCCGTTGCGCTGGGCAAAGGCGACGAACATTCCCTTGACAACAGTGTAGCCAAGCGTAGGGACGATGAAGTAGTATGCCGAAGCGCGGAACTGAACGTAGAGGAAACCCCACTTGTTAAGGGCCTGCGGGTCCGAGAAGAGGATGTAGGCCGGGTTGCGATGCATGGCCACGGAGCGACGCGCGATTCTGATAACCTTGAAGGAAGCCCATCCAAGGGTGAGAGCCATACCGAAGAGGAAGAAGACAGCGAGAACAACCTCAGCCGCGGAGTCAGCCTGGGTGAACTCCCAGAGGCAGAGAATCGTCATTTGGGGGAAACCAATCAACGTCATACGGAAGAGGATTCCCTTCAGGACAGTGAACCAGCCGTTGCGGAACTCGAGGAACTTCTCACTCTTCATCCACTTCTGTCGGACAGCCAACTCGCAGAATCCCTTGAAGGCGGCGACGCCAAGAACGGTGAAGATGACGAAAACGCAGAAGAAGGACAAGCCAGTCATGAAGAGATTAGTCGATTCGATCTTGGCGCGGAAGGCAACTCTCTGGATACCGAACACGATGTAGCTGCCGGAGGAAAGCTGAATGTTGGCTCTCTTGGCGATGATGGAGGGAACGGAAGAAATGCCACGCTTGGCCATTCTGGCGGCAGAAAGGGCCCAATCCATGGAACGCTTCTCAACCTGGACAGAAGTGGTCGTCAAGGAGTTGAGGAGAGTGGAAGGAGTTCCACCAGTTGCCCGCTGGTACCATGTGAATATATCCTGCATGAACTGGACGCGGATGATACCCATAGACCAAACGAAGTCCTGAGTCCATGACTGGACAATAGGCGGCAGGTGAACACCGGTGAGACCAACAATAGCCTGAGACTGGAAGTAGCCGAAAAGCGATAGCGTGTTGGCGGCAACGTGGGCAGCGGTGTTGGTGTGACCGAGACCAGATATAACGGCGGAAGAGATCAGTCCCAAGCCGGCGATGATGGCGGTAGCCCACTTGACACCAATCAAGTCAACAGTCTTTCCGTTGGAAATATCAGCCTCAACGCAAGCCACACTAGTGGAGGTGTCGGTCAAGTTGACGAAGACACGGACAGTAGCGTCGAGATCGGGAATGTTGTAGGCAATGCCCGGAATCTGGCCGACGGCATCCTCACCAACAGGCAAGTTGAAGTTCATGGTGATCTTTCCGGCAGTCATGGGGCACAGACCAGCGAGGTTGATGCTGCAGGGGTCAACAGTGCGCCTCAGGAACTCGTAACCGTAAGCCGAAATAGACACATCAAAGACAATGCTGCCCTGAACAGAGGAGACGGCGACAATGTTGATTGCGGCACTTCCATTGCCGGGGGTGAAGACAACGTTGAACAGACTGGCTGTGAAGCTGGAATCATCCTGGCAGGTGTTGAGAGAGTTTGACTGGAGCAACTGCTCAGCAGCAAGGACTGGCGTAGTGAGGTAGGTGGCCAGGGTGCCGAGCAGAAGCAACGGCTTAGCGAGTGACAACCTCATGGTGGGTGGTAGGTCGTCGAGATGGTCTGGGTTAGAGTAAGAGGTGATCCGCTTGACTGTGGTCCAGTATCGTCGTTGGTAGACGATGGAGCGCGGAAGATGCGGGGGGTTGAAAGCCGTCTAGGTCGAGAATATCATGGAGGTTGACGTCGTTCCAGACGGTATTGGCGACAGAAGACGATTCGGTAGAAGCAAAGGGATTGATGCGGTCGTCGATCGAGCTCGAGGCCTCTGGAGTTATTTCGCAAAGGTTGGCTTGTTTTCCGTGGCAGGGGAAAAGGTGCTAGCGAAGGTTATCTGCCGACGAATTGAGGGTTTGGCGCGGTGGTTGTTCCTGTCAATCCTCCTGTTCTGGCGAAGAAAACGAAGCGAGGGAATGGAGGAGTGCGTCCCTCTCGAAGGCGGCGACGGAAGAAGCGAAGGGAATATTCGTGTCGTCGTTGTCGTCGAATCAATCGGTAGTCGCAGGGCTAGGTGTCGACCTGAGGGAAAGGGTCGGGATTGGAGATGGGTGGGTTTGGTGGTTTTGTTGTTTGTTGCTAAAAGGAAATTGGGAAAGGAAGGGAGAGGGAAGGGAAGCAGATCGCCAAGCGGAGGGCTGGACGGGGAAGGAAGGAGTGATGAAAGGAGGCGCCGGTGGTGGTTGCTGGATGGCACTGTGGAGGGAGTGGCAGGTGCTTGCTGGCTGCAACCTTGGTTCCTTCCTTGGTGCGGCTTTCTCTGCTTGGGTTCGAGTGAGCGAAAGGCAAAAGCAGGACTGGACCCAAAACCAAGACGGGTGGAAGGTCGGATTCAGGGAAAACCGGGCAACAAGGGCCAGAATACGGGGGTGGAAGGATGATGGGTATAGGCAAAGGCCCAAGGGAGAGCGACGCTGTGCTGCGACAGGCGGACAGCAGGAATCCCGTGGATTGACTTGTGTCTGGTGTGTGGATGCGCCACTTTGTGGGTAGTAAAGGGGACAGGGGTAGAGGGGGGCCGTAGTACCGTACGGGGTTGCGAATGGGTGGTGTCGGCCCAGGCTGTCGTAATTTCAATCTTTGGAGCCGGGTGGTGCGTCGTCGAGGTGCGAATGTGGGATGTACCTTGGAGACACTTGGTTTTGGGCCCCCCTGTTTAAGTGGTGGAAGGGGAGAACGGGGGAACTTGGAAGGACTTTTACACTCCCAAAGAGACACGAGGGAAGGATGAAGGAGGGAAGAAGCGAACACGCGCCCAATGGGATGAAGAAGAGGTACTGCCTGCTGAGTCTTGCTTGACGAGGCTGGAAAAGGACGCAACCGGGGACATTGAGTATACCTTCTCTTACACATGTTTCACCAGCAAGTCAGAGGTTCTCTAACTGTACCTCCGCACCCAAAACTGGATTCAGCTCGTATCGATCTAACAGAGCTACTTGTCTCTGGCGCGTAAAGCCGTCAGGAACGGTCCAGACGAACACGCAGCCAGCGGGACACATGTACACACGAAGTCAACTGAAATGCTGTCTGTCACTGTTGGAATCAGCCAAGCAACACCACCAGAATCACGACTCACCACCACCACCACCACCACCACAAACACACCACAGGCTTGCTGTTGCTGCAGTGCCCAAGGATGTATTTTGGTCACTCACTACGAGGCAGAGCAAATTCCACACATAACAGATGCCGGGGAAACAACACAATGCCAAATTCACGCAAACCAAACCAAACCATTCAAGCATCAACTTCAAGGTCCGAGAATAGCAGATCAACATCATTTCTAGACTCTCAGCCATGATTGACGAAACAGCACATGTGGACCAGATACAACTCGGCCTACTCGATGACCCCGCTGCTACGCCAATCCATATTCTCTATAACCTTCCGCTACACCAACAGCATCAGCATCGACAACACAGACCCGATCGTCGTTGGCGTTGTCATTCAACATCCTCGTCCAACTTGGCGGACTCCCGCAATCATAGCGTCATGCAAACCGACTGCCTTCCGCCATCCGAATATTCCACCTGCAGCTCTGCATGGCCAAGCCTCAAGCCTCAAGTCTACCAAGGTCATTCATCCAAATCCCCGTCCCATCTTTGCTCCCGTATCCCGTCTGCATTTCGATTCTTATTCTCTGTATCCATACGGATGCAGGTTCTTCAGCTTCTCAATCCAGCCCCCATACACTGGCTGCAGACACGAATGCTGACAACTAATAAACTCCCATCGGCTTAGGTACGTCGCCCCCGCCCGCCGCCGCGCTACACCGCGTACGAACATACGCACAGTCATCACCACAACCCGTTCCAGTCCAGGTCATCGTCATCGGCCTCCAGCCTCTCCTTTCTCGTAATGAATGCTGTCAACGGACTAGCCTACACAGTAAGCCTCAGATCACGCAGTCCCGGGCCTCCGAAAATTCCCAAGACTCTCCAAGACCACTTTACAATGCTTCCAAGACCTAAGCCTCCACGACAAGAAACCCAAACGGGCCCAAGTAGCTACTGCTGGCATGTTCCCTCGCCCGCTCTCATCTCAAGCACCTCCGCGACACGGGGTGTTTGGGTGTCGCCTAGCCTCAGACATCAGACAAGACCACCTCGAGAAACAGGAACACGGCACCACGACCAGAGGAAGAAGCGGCACGCACTAGACCGAGCCAAAGAAGAAGGCTAACCCACAGCTCATTTCCATTCCTCTGTTTCTCTCGTCGAGTTCAGTCTCTGTAGTCTGCACTGCCACGATCAACTCTCTCCAAAGGGCACGCGTACGTACGCATTACTCCAGCAGACCATGCCACGCCGGGGTATCTTGCCTGCTCACACCTGAAATGCCGGCTCCCGGGAGAGCGAGTGCGACCGAAGGCTTCGGGGGTGACCAGTCACTGGTGTCTACCCAGCCCGATGCCCACTGAACAGGCTCGACGTCACAAATCCAGGCCCCCCGGCTTGCGTGGTTTCGTCCCAACGGGATAGAACCTGGCCGGGGTCGTTCCTAAGGAAAAGGGAATCACGAGCCTGAGACGTCTAAAAATGGCCCAGCCGCCCCAGCGGCGGTTGGTAGGCTACCGTTGCGAGGCTGAACCGTCCAGCAGGCCGTGGACTCTTGGAAATCGCCTATACGAAAATTGATGAGAGCACAAAAGACAAAATGGAAGGCTTTTCAGAACGCTTTCTTGAGGCTGCCGTCTGCCAGCCTTCACCCTGTAACATGTTCTGCAGCACCATGGTTTTCCTCACACTGACAGCTCACCGCGGCACACCGAGCCGAGCGACCTAGACCATTATTCCGGCCCACGATGGAGACGGATGAGCGATGGACCAACAAGATTTCCAAGGCTAACGCTGATGATCGACGAGCATCCAATGTTTTGGGCTGATGAACCGCTGGTCCGTCGTTACAGACTTTCCAGTGAGTGAATATCCCAACTTTGCTCAGTAACAATTCCAGTTGCAGGTCCGGGCACGAGAGGCTGTGTTCGTTCACCTTGCCTTTTTACCTTATGTTGCTTATGCAGGGCTTCCCGCCGACAAGAAGCCAATTGCGACGCTGCCCGAACCTTGTTCTCATCCGTCTGGCTCCCTCCCTCGCACAGTCCTCGACTACTCTCACTCTCAAGAGTCTGCGAGTCTTCATCCTCGTTGGTACCTCCCGAGACGCGGATCCTCCGTGCATCGCCACGATTGAGATTTCTCGCTTCGAGCGTGTTCCGGCTCGCTCTAGACGAGCGCACATCAAACGGCACTCAGAAACAATTCCATCTCCCTTTGCAGCTCCCTTCTCCGCAAAACCCACATTTTCAAATCTCGTCAGAGTGGTCAGCGTGCCAGCGGTGCCAGTGTGGCAGCAACCCGCCAGCAACGCGTGCTTCGGGGCCCGGTGTGACGCTGAAAATCACAATCCCTTCCCAGTCTGGCGGCAACTCATCTCCAATCGTTTAGCCAAAATAAACATTGCTGGTGGGAACCCGTCACAATCCACACCCACTGTTCACGGCATCGACAGCAATGGTGGTGACGAAGTTTTCCCATAATCGCTCATCAATGATCAATCTCCAGAGCTGGGGCCCGCATGCCACCTGCAGACTTTCCTTGCGTCGTTTAACATCGACTGCCATGTGTCTCGGAACATTTGACTCGTACCATCATGCCTTAGCCTCCCTTGAGGAATTTTGCAATAATGGCTTGTTCCTTGCAGCATATTGTTTCTTCTATCCTTCCCTCTCTCATTATTCCAAGGCAACAAATTCTGTCATAAGAGGAAGGGAGGGAAAAAAAACACAATTCCTCCAATATTCCCACCTTGCAATTATATGCTCATTTATCGACAACCTTAATCTATGTCATGCTGCTCAAGGTCCAGGGTCCGAAATACACCATACACGTTATAACACAAAATTTAGCACTCGCCCCGAAAACGAAGAGGCGACTGCTCTCCTCGTAAGGCCGGTTCTGTCCATCCGCAGATAAATGACCCGACGCCTTAAAATAAATCACGAACGCCTTACCATAACATGGAAGATCGTCCGCTTCCGTTGAGGGAATCCATAAATGCCATTCAATTCTCTACAGGCGGCGGAGTTCCTGAGAAAAAGTGGCATGAGGTAGGAAAGGAATTCCAGCGCAACACATTGACGGTTTGACCCTGGGAGTCGCGCGTACATTCTCAGCTTGGACTGTCAGTTTACTGAAGACAAGGAATCGACGTTGTGTGCATAATTTCCCTGCAGCGTGATGTCAGCGTCGCCCGCGAAGACCAGTTTGCGAGGATGTTCAACTAGAAATCCTGAAAAGTCGCCGACCTACCAATGCTATAGAATTAGACAGATTGACCGAGTAGTCAATTGGTAGATACAGCCAGAGGGGATCGGTTCATTTGATCCGAACCCGATTTCTTTTCCCTCGTATCGCGATAAAGTGTACCAGCCCGTCGACCTCGCGACAAAACAGAGGCCTGGTGATCAACCAACCAAAATGGCAATGGCGGCGAGCCACTCCCGCTCACTAACACGGGGGATCGACAGGGCAACCGGCGACATGGCTGTCTTTTACCAGACCAGACCGGCTTACGATATTCGTATGGCGTACGGCATGTCACGATTTCTACGAGTATCTGATTCGGCTCGATAACGCACTCTGTATGGGCACGCTCTTTCCATCGGTGAGATTCTTCATTATATGGCAGAAGTGTGAAGTGGCATTCATTACATTCCCTTCATCTATCAAAATCGATTCTGTATGCATGCGGTACGCTCAATCGCTGTACTCGTAAAGCCAAAAAAAAAAAAAAAAGCTCCTCAAACACCCACCACCGTGAACCCAAAAACCCGCATGCATCTTCATCAAATGCGTCTAAATCCCACCATATTTCATGTGAAAATGTAAAACCATAAAACTCCCGCCTCCTTTCCCACTCTGAACTGAGCGCCTTCGTGCTCGTTTTCATGTGATTCATCTCCAGGCAGCAGCTTAAACCACCCCTTTCCCTGAGCAATCCAATCCAACTGCCGCTCCCTTTGCCCCTCGTAGTTCATCTCAACACCTTTTTTTTTTCCCATCTCGCTCTCGCGGTTTGTATGTTCCACGGTAACGATATTCAATCATATTGATCCCACTGCTGGTTCCACGGCTTATTTGTCCCCTGGAAATCCATACCGTGCTTATAGTACCCCAACAGCTCCTCCTCGTCGACGCCGCAGTGCGTCTGCCCGTCGCGGCCCTCGAACCAGCCCAGCCCGTACGTCTTGCCGAGCCCCTCGAGGTACCGCGCCATCTCGGCATTGCTCATCCGCGCCGTGTTGACAAAGTCGTAAATCATCTTGCTCTGGTGGATGAAGGCGAGGTGCGACGAAATGGTGTTGGGCTGCCGCGGCAGGAACGGGTGCCGCCGCCGGAGGAACACGATGGTCGCGACGGTGCCCATGTACACGAGGATGAAGGTCGCCAGGCCGTACGAGATCCAAAAGGACGAGACGGTTTCCTGTCCGGCGTTGATGCCGCCGAGGTCCGGGCCGTCGTCCTCGACGCCGTGGTGACCGCCGGGTCGATCCTGCTGGTCCGGCGGCGGGGCGTAGGCGGCGTCGAGGAACTCTGTGCCCACGACCGTGGCCAGGCTGGTCAGCAGCACCGTCAGGACCTCGGCCATCATACTGCCGAATCCGACGAGGAACATGAGCGTGTGGGCGTTGAGGAAGGCGTGGAACGGCATCAGGGCGAACGGCATGGCCGTGTAGTCGAGCGTGAGCGTCTTGGACGACGAGTGCCTCTTTGACAGGATGTAATACGGCTCCATCATGCGCATGTCGGTCTCGAGGCCGCCCCAGCCGAGCTTTATGCAGACGGCCAGGGCGGTCACGACCCACGGCGCTTTGGACGTGATGATGCTGGCGCTGGAGAAGAGAAACACCGGGATGAAGCCCGTGAAGAGGGCGATGCCGATGACGAACGGGAGGAAGCCGCCGAGCCGCAGGGATCGCGGGTGCGGGTTCTGCGAGAGGTGGTCGTCGCGGTACTTGTCGGTATCCTGCGACGACACGGGGTTCTCGTCGTCGGGGGCCAGCGACGCGTTGCGCAGGACGTAGCGGCGGTGCTTCAGCTTGTCGTGGATGTCGCGGTGGCTCACGACGTCCAGGTCCGCAAAGTCCACAAGGATGTGACTGACGACCGCCATGGACGCGAGACCTGCAATGCCCTTGACGTCGGCCAACAGGCCAGACCTTCTCCTTTGGAGGATGTAGAAGAGGATGCAGCCGCAGAGGGCGCAGACGCAGAGGGTGGAGGATAGCAGCCTCGACCAGATGGCATTCAGTTTGATCTCTTTGTCGCCGTTGGGATGCGCAAGGCGTGTAGCCCTGTCGGGATATAGAAAGAAGGACGCAGCGCCAAAGGTTGGCACCAACGACACAGCCAGGGAGGTCGCGATGGAAGACACAGCGACCGCGAAGTGCCGCAGTTTGATCGCTCGGAAAGGCCGCAGCCAGCTCAGGCTGGTGACATAGTCAACGTTGATGGACTCGGCTGCAAGTGCACCTCCTTCTTTCGAAAGCTGATAGTACGCTTCGAGGCGCTTCACTTCAAAGTCGGTGACCTGCCACAACACGCCGTACGTAACGGAGAGGATAGTCGGCAGGAACTTGACGGCGAAGTACTCGAGCCCCGGAACATCGGCGGGACTTTTGAACTTGACCAGAGGATGAGTCTGCGATCTCTGGTAAAGAAACTCGACCATGACGGCGAGGGCAACGGACAGAACGATCAAAGCGGTGAGATATGGCCATCTCATCGAAAATGGCTTCCAGTTGGGCTGCGGGTAAAAGACCTGTGTCCTCTGGCTCCTGTTGACGGGGAACGTGGCGTGCCGTATACTAGCATCGTCGCCCATGATGCTCGGTCCCGCGACGACGCTGAGATCGACCTGGTCTACCTGGCGTCGAGCGGCCTCCTCGGGGGTGTCTTCGATGATGACCTCAATGACCTTCCCCTGCTTATTAGCCTCATCCTGGCCGCGGTCCTTGATGGTGGCTGCACGACCCAACTTCTGACGACGAGAAAAGGACCGCGTAAGGGAGGACCTCTTAGGCAGCGGGGACGACGAGAGCAGATCCTCGCCCTTGATCGTGGTGTCCGGCCTGAACCCGGCCCCGAGTCCACCGGT